GACCAGGAAGCTGTTGGCCACCAACTGTAGCTCCTTCACATTAAGACTGGCCAGTGTCTCTGGCTGCAGCACTATGACCTTACCTGCAGTGACCAGGAAGCTGTTGGCCACCAACTGTAGCTACTTCACATTAAGACTGGCCAGTGTCTCTGGCTGCAGCACTATGACCTTTACCTGCAGTGACCAGGAAGCTGTTGGCCACCAACTGTAGCTCCTTCACATTAAGACTGGCCAGTGTCTCTGGCTGCAGCACTATGACCTTACCTGCAGTGACCAGGAAGCTGTTGGCCACCAGCTGTAGCTACTTCACATTAAGACTGGCCAGTGTTTCTGGCTGCAGCACTATGACCTTACCTGCAGTGACCAGGAAGCTGTTGGCCACCAACTGTAGCTCCTTCACATTAAGACTGGCCAGTGTCTCTGGCTGCAGCACTATGACCTTTACCTGCAGTGACCAGGAAGCTGTTGGCCACCAGCTGTAGCTACTTCACATTAAGACTGGCCAGTGTGTTTGGCTGCAGCACTATGGACCTTACCTGCAGTGACCAGGAAGCTGTTGGCCACCAGCTGTAGCTCCTTCCCCACATTAAGACTGGCCAGTGTTTCTGGCTGCAGCACTATACCCTTACCTGCAGTGACCAGGAAGCTGTTGGCCACCAACTGTAGCTACTTCACATTAAGACTGGCCAGTGTCTCTGGCTGCAGCACTATGATCTTACCTGCAGTGACCAGGAAGCTGTTGGCCACCAGCTGTAGCTCCTTCCACATTAAGACTGGCCAGTGTTTCTGGCTGCAGCACTATGACCTTACCTGCAGTGACCAGGAAGCTGTTGGCCACCAGCTGTAGCTCCTTCACATTAAGACTGGCCAGTGTTTCTGGCTGCAGCACTATGACCTTACCTGCAGTGACCAGGAAGCTGTTGGCCACCAACTGTAGCTACTTCACATTAAGACTGGCCAGTGTTTCTGGCTGCAGCACTATGACCTTACCTGCAGTGACCAGGAAGCTGTTGGCCACCAACTGTAGCTCCTTCACATTAAGACTGGCCAGTGTTTCTGGCTGCAGCACTATGACCTTACCTGCAGTGACCAGGAAGCTGTTGGCCACCAACTGTAGCTACTTCACATTAAGACTGGCCAGTGTTTCTGGCTGCAGCACTATGACCTTACCTGCAGTGACCAGGAAGCTGTTGGCCACCAACTGTAGCTCCTTCACATTAAGACTGGCCAGTGTCTCTGGCTGCAGCACTATGACCTTACCTGCAGTGACCAGGAAGCTGTGTGGCCACCAGCTGTAGCTACTTCACATTAAGACTTGCCAGTGTCTCTGGCTGCAGCACTATGACCTTACCTGCAGTGACCAGGAAGCTGTTGGCCACCAACTGTAGCTCCTTCACATTAAGACTGGCCAGTGTCTCTGGCTGCAGCACTATGACCTTACCTGCAGTGACCAGGAAGCTGTTGGCCACCAGCTGTAGCTACTTCACATTAAGACTGGCCAGTGTTTCTGGCTGCAGCACTATGACCTTACCTGCAGTGACCAGGAAGCTGTTGGCCACCAACTGTAGCTCCTTCACATTAAGACTGGCCAGTGTCTCTGGCTGCAGCACTATGACCTTACCTGCAGTGACCAGGAAGCTGTTGGCCACCAACTGTAGCTCCTTCACATTAAGACTGGCCAGTGTCTCTGGCTGCAGCACTATGACCTTACCTGCAGTGACCAGGAAGCTGTTGGCCACCAGCTGTAGCTACTTCACATTAAGACTGGCCAGTGTTTCTGGCTGCAGCACTATGACCTTACCTGCAGTGACCAGGAAGCTGTTGGCCACCAACTGTAGCTCCTTCACATTAAGACTGGCCAGTGTCTCTGGCTGCAGCACTATGACCTTACCTGCAGTGACCAGGAAGCTGTTGGCCACCAACTGTAGCTACTTCACATTAAGACTGGCCAGTGTCTCTGGCTGGCAGCACTATGACCTTACCTGCAGTGACCAGGAAGCTGTTGGCCACCAACTGTAGCTCCTTCACATTAAGACTGGCCAGTGTCTCTGGCTGCAGCACTATGACCTTACCTGCAGTGACCAGGAAGCTGTTGGCCACCAGCTGTAGCTACTTCACATTAAGACTGGCCAGTGTTTCTGGCTGCAGCACTATGACCTTACCTGCAGTGACCAGGAAGCTGTTGGCCACCAACTGTAGCTCCTTCACATTAAGACTGGCCAGTGTCTCTGGCTGCAGCACTATGACCTTACCTGCAGTGACCAGGAAGCTGTTGGCCACCAGCTGTAGCTACTTCACATTAAGACTGGCCAGTGTTTCTGGCTGCAGCACTATGACCTTACCTGCAGTGACCAGGAAGCTGTTGGCCACCAACTGTAGCTACTTCACATTAAGACTGGCCAGTGTTTCTGGCTGCAGCACTATGACCTTACCTGCAGTGACCAGGAAGGTGTTGGCCCCCAACTGTAGCTACTTCACATTAAGACTGGCCAGTGTCTCTGGCTGCAGCACTATGACCTTACCTGCAGTGACCAGGAAGCTGTTGGCCACCAACTGTAGCTCCTTCACATTAAGACTGGCCAGTGTCTCTGGCTGCAGCACTATACCCTTACCTGCAGTGACCAGGGAAGCTGTTGGCCACCAACTGTAGCTACTTCACATTAAGACTGGCCAGTGTCTCTGGCTGCAGCACTATGACCTTACCTGCAGTGACCAGGAAGCTGTTGGCCACCAGCTGTAGCTCCTTCCATTAAGACTGGCCAGTGTTTCTGGCTGCAGCACTATGACCTTACCTGCAGTGACCAGGAAGCTGTTGGCCACCAGCTGTAGCTCCTTCACATTAAGACTGGCCAGTGTTTCTGGCTGCAGCACTAAGACCTTACCTGCAGTGACCAGGAAGCTGTTGGCCACCAACTGTAGCTACTTCACATTAAGACTGGCCAGTGTTTCTGGCTGCAGCACTATGACCTTACCTGCAGTGACCAGGAAGCTGTTGGCCACCAACTGTAGCTCCTTCACATTAAGACTGGCCAGTGTTTCTGGCTGCAGCACTATGACCTTACCTGCAGTGACCAGGAAGCTGTTGGCCACCAGCTGTAGCTACTTCACATTAAGACTGGCCAGTGTCTCTGGCTGCAGCACTATGACCTTACCTGCAGTGACCAGGAAGCTGTTGGCCACCAGCTGTAGCTCCTTCACATTAAGACTGGCCAGTGTCTCTGGCTGCAGCACTATGACCTTACCTGCAGTGACCAGGAAGGTGTTGGCCACCAGCTGTAGCGCGCGGTAGCTGGCCTTGAGGAAGATCAGTTGAAGCACTACAGTCGCCAGGACGAGGGTGACTCCAACGACACTCAGTATCCGGCCCACCGTCAACCAGGCTGAGAACAGAGACACAGACACTTGGAACATGCCACATACATTAATCCACATGGAATAGTATGTCGTCGATACACCTTGATACAACGTGCTCCCAGTAGACATCCCGATACTGCATACCGTTCTGTTAGATATCCCCAAACCCAAGTACCCCATATCAGAACCGATACCGACAAACCAGTAACACCCACCCCTTAATAAATACTCGAACAACCCAACCCCACACCCAAAACCTCGCTACCAGATCCCTCTTAACACCAGATAAAGCTTTTACCACCACATACCCTCATGCCATACGTGCACATCGTACCCAAAATACCAAATACCTGTACATCGTACCCAAATACCAGATACTTGAACATCGTACCCAAATGCGAGTGAGTGGAGTGAGCGAGTAAGTGAGTGAGTGAGTGAGTGAGTGAGTGAGTGAGTGAGTGAGGAGTGAGTGAGGAGTGAGGTGAGGAGTGGTGAGTGGGAGTGAGTGAGTGAGTGAGGAGGAGTGAGTGGTGAGTGAGTGAGTGAGTGAGTGGAGTGAGTGAGTGAATGAGTGAGCGAGCGAGCGAGCGAGCGGGGGTGGCTGGGTGGGTGGTGAGTGAGTGTGTGAGGAGTGAGTGGGTGAGTGGGTGGGTGGGTGGGTGGGTGAGTTTTGGGTGGGTGGACGGGGTGGGTGGGTGGTTGAGTGAGTGGGTGAGTGAGTGAGTTGGAGATTAATGAAAGGCCGTATCAGACCGTATTGTTTACAACAGTGTTTATGTGAGTGTCGTGGGTGGAAGTGTGAAGCTGCCATAAAATACCACGCATCTCTCAAATGTCCAGTCCAGTATCTCACGAAGCCATGATTGAATAACGTTAACACCAAATGTTAATATCCAGCTTGGAAACAACACTGATTCCCTTGCTGCTGCAGCTGTTTAGATTGCTCCTTCAGGGAGGAGATATTTTGTGTACTTACTGAAGACGAAATGCAGAAGTGAATTAATGACACTGAATGGAACAAGGCTGGATGTTCCGCGCGTTTTCCTTATTTGGAATGTGAAAGGTATTACATTGGTGTAGTTCCCTACAGTTAATGATTGTTCCTTTGTTTACATCCGGGGGACTGGGTAGTTAAATTGTTCTTTGCCACATGTACACAACGATGAAGGCAGTTGCTCTCTTTATCAAACGCGTTTTTCATACAGTTTCTATGCGTTGTTAATAACGTCATTGTGTTACGTAATTATGCTCCTCGGAGGTTTCAAACGACGACCATGTTAAAAGGCAACATGGCACGTTGTGTGCGTCTGTTGAAAAAGCCAATGAACAGCCATCCCTCGCCACACGCGCCACACAAGCGTAGCATTGCCAGAAAACAGCACAGGAGGTATGTGGAGGTATGTGGAGGTATGTGGAGGAATGTGGGGGTATCTGGAGGTATCTGGGGGCATCTGGGTATCTAGGGGTATCTGGAGGTATCTGGGGGTATCTGGGGGTGTCTGGGGGTATCTGGGGTATCTGGGGGTATCTGGTGGTATGTGGAGGTATGTGGAGGTATCTGGGGTATCTGGAGGTATGTGGAGGTATGTGGGGGTATGTGGAGGAATGTGGGGGGTATCTGGAGGCATCTGGGGGCATCTGGGTATCTAGGGGTATCTGGAGGTATCTGGGGGTATCTGGGGCATCTGGGGGTATCTGGGGTATCTGGGGGTATCTGGTGGTATGTGGAGGTATGTGGAGGCATCTGGGGTATCTGGAGGTATGTGGAGGTATGTGGGGGTATGTGGAGGTATCTGGGGGTATCTGGGGTATCTGGAGGTATCTGGGGCATCTGGGTATCTAGGGGTATCTGGAGGTATCTGGGAGTATCTGGGGGTGTCTCGGGGTATATGGGGTATCTGGGGGTATCTGGTGGTATGTGGAGGTATGTGGAGGTATCTGGGGTATCTGGAGGTATATGGGGTATCTGGGGGTATGTGGAGGTATCTGGGGGTATCTGGAGGTATCTGGAGGTATGTGGGGGTATGTGGGGGTATCTGGAGGTATCTGGGAGTATCTGGGGATATCTGGGGGTATCTGGAGGTATGTGGAGGCATCTGGAGGTATGTGGAGGCATCTGAAGGTATGTGGAGCCATCTGGGGGTATCTGGGGGTATTTGGGGGTATCTGGAGGTATCTGGAGGTATCTGGAGGTATCTGGAGGTATCTGGAGGTATCTGGAGATATCGCGAGGCATCTAGGGGTATTTGGCGGTATCTGGAGGAAGCACCTGGAGGCATCTGGAGGTATCTGGAGGTAGCGTCTTTAGGTAGCATATGGAGGTATCTAGATTTATCTGGAGGCTTATGGAGGTATCCGGAGGCATCTAGGGGTATTTTGAGGTATCTGGAGGTAGCATCTTTAGGTATCTGGAGGTAGGATCTGGAGGTATCTAGATCTATCTGGAGGCTTATGGAGGTATCTGGAGGTATATAGAGGCATCTGGAGGTATTTGGAGGTATCTAGAGGCATCTGGAGGTACCTGGAGGTATCTGGAGGTAGCATCTGGAGGTATGTGGAGGTAGCATCTGGAGGTATCTAGAGGTATTTGGAGGTATCTGGAGGTAGCATCTGGCGGCATCTAGAGGAATCTGGAGGCATATGGGGCATCTGGAGTTATGTGGAGGTAGCATCTGGAGGCATCTGGATGTATCTGGATGTAGCATCTTTAGATATCTGGAGGTATCTAGATCTATCTAGAGGCATCTGTAGGAAGCATCTGTAGGTATCTTGAGGTATCTATAGGCATCTGGAGGTATCTGGAGGTATCTAGAGGTATCTGGAGGTAGCATCTGGAGGAATCTGGAGGTATCTGGAGATATCTGGAGGTATGTGGAGATAGCATCTGGAGGTATTTGGAGGTAGCATCTGGAGGTATCTAGAGGTATTTGGAGGTATCTGGAGGTATCTGTAGGTAGCATCTGGAGGCGTTTAGAGCTATCTGGAGGCATCTGGGGGCATCTGGAGGTATCTGGAGGTTGTGTTTGTTTAGGTTTGAATCTTGAAGTCTTTCTCCTGAACTACGTAACACTAATGCACAACGGTCTGTGAGGCCTCGGCAATATCTCGAAACGCAAGTGAAAGGTGTTGGAGTCCAGCCATTGGCTGTCCAGTGCAGTCCATGCGTGTCTTCCTGTCGAGTATGCCCTCCGTGACGGGAGGCCAGTGAAAAGTGTTGGAGTCCAGCCGTTGGCTGTCCAGTGCAGTCCAAACGTGTCTTCCTGTCGAGTATGCCCTCCGTGACGGGAGGCCAGTGAAAGCTGTTGGAGTCCTGCCATTGGCTGTCCAGTGCAGTCCAAGCGTGACTTCCTGTCGAGTATGCCCTCCGTGACGGGAGGCCAGTGAAAAGTGTTGGAGCCCAGCCGTTGGCTGTCCAGTGCAGTCCAAACGTGTCTTCCTGTCGAGTATGCCCTCCGTGACGGGAGGCCAGTGAAAAGTGTTGGAGCCCAGCCGTTGGCTGTCCAGTGCAGTCCAAACGTGTCTTCCTGTCGAGTATGCCCTCCGTGACGGGACGTGAGCCTCACCACTGTGGCAGTCACGATGACCTCATGCTGCAGCCACGAGAACTCTGTCTTCCTGCTCTGGGATGGAAGCGTGTGTGCTGGGTTTGTGATTTGCGTGGTGTCTGATGTGTGTGTGTTAAAGTGGGGGCTGTGTCAGAAGAGAGTTTGTGTGGATTGTGAGTGAGTGTATCTGTGTGAGAAAGACTGTAAGGTCTGTAAGTATTTGTGGGTGTACATATGTGTGAGGTGTGTGTGTGTGTACATATGTGTAAGTGTGTGTGACATTGAATCTTAGTTCGACATACATAGTACTAGGTAGGTGTAGGTGGGTGTATTAGGTGTGTCTTGGCGTTGGTGGGTGTGGTAGGCATGTGTAGCTGGGTGTGCTAGGTATATGTAGGTGGGTGTTCTAGGCATGTGTAGCTGGGTGTGCTAGGTATATGTAGCTGGGTGTGGTAGGCATGTGTAGCTGGGTGTGCTAGGTATATGTAGATAACTGTATTACGGTGGGTGTATTAGGTGTAGCTGGGTGTATTTAGGCATGTGTAGCTGGGTGTGCTAGGTATGTGTAGGTGGGTGTTCTAGGCATGTGTGTAGCTGGGTGTGCTAGGTATATGTAGATAAGTGCATTACGTGTGCAGGTGGGTGTATTAGGTATGTGTTGGGATATCTCGTTACTCACCTGCGTTGTCGTTAGGTATGGCTGACGGAGGCGTCATGCCTTCAGGTACAGAGATCACTCGAACATCCTCCGGGAAACAAAGATTGTCACTGCATCTCACCGGACCGAATAGTGAGAACGTGGCCACAACGTTCTTCGTGGAAGTATCCTTCAACACCCACCAGTTGGGGAACAGCACACCCACACACTGAAATATGGAGGCGAGCGCAGTCAACATCAGCGCCACGACATGGAGACGGTCCCTTTGGTAGCATCTCTAACTCACATTCACTTTTACATAGAAATGGCGTATCTAATTTTCGTGCAACAATGAATTCAGTTTCATGGCGGTATTTGAGTGGTATTTAATTAATTTCCTGGTCGGTCGAAGAAAGTTATCTGTACCACCCAGGGTTTCCTGTGTGAGTCAGGAACTTCCCACTGTAGTGACTGCCGCTCTCTGTACATACACAGTGTGGTGTAGTGACTGCCTCTCTTGTACATACACAGTGTGGTGTAGTGACTGCCGCTCTCTTGTACATACACAGTGTGGTGTAGTGACTGCCGCTCTCTTGTACATACACAGTGTGGTGTAGTGACTGCCTCTCTCTTGTACATACGCAGTGTGGTGTAGTGACTGCCGCTCTCTTGTACATGCACAGTGTGGTGTAGTGACTGCCGCTCTCTCTTGGTACATACACAGTGTGGTGTAGTGACTGCCGCTCTCTTGTACATACACAGTGTGGTGTAGTGACTGCCTCTCTTTGTACATACACAGTGTGGTGTAGTTGACTGCCGCTCTCTTGTACATACATGAGTGTGGTGTAGTGACTGCCTCTCTCTTGTACATACACAGTGTGGTGTAGTGACTGCCTCTCTCTTGTACATACACAGTGTGGTGTAGTGACTGCCGCTCTCTTGGGGTACATACACAGTGTGGTGTAGTGACTGCCGCTCTCTTATTACATACACAGTGTGGTGTAGTGACTGCCGCTCTCTTGTACATACACAGTGTGGTGTAGTGACTGCCTCTCTCTTGTACATACATAGTGTGGTGTAGTGACTGCCGCCTCTTGTACATACACAGTGTGGTGTAGTCGACTGCCGCTCTCTTGTACATACACACAGTGTGGTGTAGTGACTGCCTCTCTCTTGTACATACACAGTGTGGTGTAGTGACTGCCGCTCTCTTGTACATACATAGTGTGGTGTAGTGACTGCCGCTCTCTTGTACATACATGAGTGTGGTGTAGTGACTGCCGCTCTCTTGTACATACATAGTGTGTTGTAGTTGACTGCCGCTCTCTTGTACATACACAGTGTGGTGTAGTGACTGCCTCTCTCTTGTACATACACAGTGTGGTGTAGTGACTGCCGCTCTCTTGTACATACGCAGTGTGGTGTAGTGACTGCCTCTCTCTTGTACATACACAGTGCACTGTAGTTGACTGCCTCTCTCTTGTACATGCATGCACTGGTGTGGTGTAGTTGACTGCCGCTCTCTTGTACATACACAGTGCACTGTAGTTACTGCCTCTCTCTTGTACATACGCAGTGTGGTGTAGTGACTGCCGCTCTCTTGTACATACACAGTGGTGTGGTGTAGTGACTGCCTCTCTCTTGTACATACACAGTGTGGTGTAGTGACTGCCGCTCTCTTGTACATACGCAGTGTGGTGTAGTGACTGCCTCTCTCTTGTACATACACAGTGTGGTGTAGTGACTGCCTCTCTCTTGTACATACACAGTGTGGTGTAGTGACTGCCGCTCTCTTGTACATACACAGTGCACTGTAGTTGACTGCCGCTCTCTTGTACATACACAGTGTGGTGTAGTTGACTGCCTCTCTCTTGTACATACACAGTGCACTGTAGTTGACTGCCGCTCTCTTGTACATACACAGTGTGGTGTAGTGACTGCCGCTCTCTCTTGTACATACACACAGTGCACTGTCGCCTCTTGTAGTGACTGCCTCTCTCTTGTACATACACAGTGTGGTGTAGTGACTGCCTCTCTCTTGTACATACACAGTGTGGTGTAGTGACTGCCGCTCTCTTGTACATACACAGTGCACTGTAGTTGACTGCCGCTCTCTTGTACATACACAGTGTGGTGTAGTTGACTGCCTCTCTCTTGTACATACACAGTGCACTGTAGTGACTGCCGCTCTCTTGTACATACACAGTGTGGTGTAGTTGACTGCCGCTCTCTTGTACATACACAGTGCACTGTAGTTGACTGCCTCTCTCTTGTACATACACAGTGCACTGTAGTTGACTGCCGCTCTCTTGTACATACACAGTGTGCACTGTAGTGACTGCCTCTCTCTTGTACATACACAGTGCACTGTAGTTGACTGCCGCTCTCTTGTACATACACAGTGCACTGTAGTTGACTGCCGCTCTCTTGTACATACACAGTGTGGTGTAGTGACTGCCTCTCTCTTGTACATACACAGTGCACTGTAGTTGACTGCCTCTCTCTCTTGTACATACACAGTGGTGTGGTAACATACTCTTGGCCAGCATACACAGTGTGTAGTGACTGCCTCTCTCTTGTACATACACAGTGCACTGTAGTCTGACTGCCTCTCTTGTACACATACACAGTGCACTGTAGTTGACTGCTCGCTCTCTTGTACATACACAGTGCACTGTAGTGACTGCCGCTCTCTTGTACATACACAGTGCACTGTAGTTGACTGCCTCTCTCTTGTACATACACAGTGTGCACTGTAGTGACTGCCTCTCTCTTGTACATACACAGTGCACTGTGGTTGACTGCCTCTCTCTTGTACATACACAGTGCACTGTAGTTGACTGCCTCTCTCTTGTACATACACAGTGCACTGTGGTTGACTGCCGCTCTCTTGTACATACACAGTGCACTGTAGTTGACTGCCTCTCTCTTGTACATACACAGTGCACTGTTGTAGACTCTCGCTCTCTTGTACATACACAGTGCACTGTAGTTGACTGCCTCTCTCTTGTACATACACAGTGCACTGTAGTTGACTGCCGCTCTCTTGTACATACACAGTGCAGTGTAGTTGACTGCCTCTCTCTTGTACATACACAGTGCACTGTTGTAGACTCTCGCTCTCTTGTACATACACAGTGCACTGTAGTTGACTGCCTCTCTCTTGTACATACACAGTGCACTGTAGTTGACTGCCGCTCTCTTGTACATACACAGTGCACTGTAGTTGACTGCCTCTCTCTTGTACATACACAGTGCACTGTAGTTGACTGCCTCTCTCTTGTACATACACAGTGCACTGTAGTTGACTGCCTCTCTCTTGTACATACACAGTGCACTGTTGTAGACTCTCGCTCTCTTGTACATACACAGTGCACTGTAGTTGACTGCCTCTCTCTTGTACATACACAGTGCACTGTAGTTGACTGCCGCTCTCTTGTACATACACAGTGCACTGTAGTTGACTGCCTCTCTCTTGTACATACACAGTGCACTGTAGTTGACTGCCTCTCTCTTGTACATACACAGTGCACTGTAGTTGACTGCCTCTCTCTTGTACATACACAGTGCACTGTTGTAGACTCTCGTTCTCTTGTACATACACAGTGCACTGTAGTTGACTGTCGCTCTCTTGTACATACACTGTGCACTGTAGTTGACTGTCGCTCTCTTGTACATACACATTGCACTGTATTGACTGTCGCTCTCTTGTACATACACAGTGCACTGTTGTTGACTGTCGCTCTCTTGTACATACACAGTGCACTGTTGTTGACTGTCGCTCTCTTGTACATACACAGTGCACTGTAGTTGACTGTCGCTCTCTTGTACATACACATTGCACTGTATTGACTGTCGCTCTCTTGTACATACACAGTGCACTGTTGTTGACTGTCGCTCTCTTGTACATACACAGTGCACTGTAGTTGACTGCCTCTCTTGTACATACACAGTGCACTGTAGTTGACTGCCTCTCTTTGTACATACACAGTGCACTGTATTGACTGTCGCTCTCTTGTACATACACTGTGCACTGTAGTTGACTGCCTCTCTCTTGTACATACACAGTGCACTGTATTGACTTTGCCTCTCTCTTGTACATACACAGTGCACTGTAGTTGACTGTCGCTCTCTTGTACATACACAGTGCACTGTAGTTGACTGCCTCTCTTGTACATACACAGTGCACTGTAGTTGACTGTCGCTCTCTTGTACATACACAGTGCACTGTAGTTGACTGTCGCTCTCTTATACATACACAGTGCACTGTTGTAGACTCTCGCTCTCTTGTACATACACAGTGCACTGTAGTTGACTGTCGCTCTTTTGTACATACACAGTGCACTGTTGTAGACTCTCGCTCTCTTGTACATACACAGTGCACTGTAGTTGACTGCCTCTCTCTTGTACATACACAGTGCACTGTAGTTGACTGCCTCTCTCTTGTACATACACAGTGCACTGTAGTTGACTGCCGCTCTCTTGTACATACACATTGCACTGTAGTTGACTTTCGCTCTCTTGTACATACACAGTGCACTGTAGTTGACTGCCTCTCTCTTGTACATACACAGTGCACTGTTGTAGACTGTCTCTCTCTTGTACATACACAGTGCACTGTAGTTGACTGCCTCTCTCTTGTACATACACATAGCACTGTAGTTGACTGCCTCTTTCTTGTACATACACAGTGCACTGTAGTTGACTGCCTCTCTCTTGTACATACACAGTGCACTGTTGTAGACTGTCTCTCTCTTGTACATACACAGTGCACTGTAGTTGACTGTCGCTCTCTTGTACATACACAGTGCACTGTAGTTGACTGTCGCTCTCTTGTACATACACTGTGCACTGTAGTTGACTGTCGCTCTCTTGTACATACACTGTGCACTGTATTGACTGCCTCTCTCTTGTACATACACAGTGCACTGTATTGACTGTCTCTCTCTTGTACATTAACTGTGCACTGTATTGACTGCCTCTCTCTTGTACATACACAGTGCACTGTAGTTGACTGTCGCTCTCTTGTACATACACAGTGCACTGTAGTTGACTGCCTCTCTCTTGTACATACACAGTGCACTGTAGTTGACTGTCGCTCTCTTGTACATACACAGTGCACTGTAGTTGACTGTCGCTCTCTTGTACATACACTGTGCACTGTATTGACTGTCGCTCTCTTGTACATACACAGTGCACTGTAGTTGGCTGTCGCTCTCTTGTACATACACAGTGCACTGTAGTTGACTGCCTCTCTCTTGTACATACACAGTGCACTGTAGTTGACTGTCGCTCTCTTGTACATACACTGTGCACTGTAGTTGACTGCCTCTCTCTTGTACATACACAGTGCACTGAAGTTGACTGCCTCTCTCTTGTACATACACAGTGCACTGTATTGACTTTCGCTCTCTTGTACATACACAGTGCACTGTAGTTGACTGCCTCTCTCTTGTACATACACAGTGCACTGTAGTTGACTGCCTCTCTCTTGTACATACACAGTGCACTGTAGTTGACTGTCGCTCTCTTGTACATACACAGTGCACTGTAGTTGACTGTCGCTCTCTTGTACATACACAGTGCACTGTTGTAGACTGTCGCTCTCTTGTACATACACAGTGCACTGTTGTAGACTCTCGCTCTCTTGTACATACACTGTGCACTGTATTGACTGTCGCTCTCTTGTACATACACAGTGCACTGTAGTTGACTGTCGCTCTCTTGTACATACACTGTGCACTGTAGTTGACTGTCGCTCTCTTGTACATACACAGTGCACTGTAGTTGACTGCCTCTCTCTTGTACATACACAGTGCACTGTTGTAGACTGTCGCTCTCTTGTACATACACAGTGCACTGTATTGACTGCCACTCTCTTGTACATACACAGTGCACTTGGTAGAGTGAAGAATGTTAGTATTTGGATCAAGAATGTGTTTAAATGTTGGTAGGGTGAAGTGTGCGAGCAATGTTTGCAGGAACATTAAAGAGCACTAGCATGTAAAGCAATATTGATATGGTCAATGAAGAACATTAACCTATGGAGCAATTGTGATATTGTGACTGAAGAACACTAGCATGTAGAGTAATGTTGATGGGATATTGAAGAGCACTAGCACATAAAACAATGATGATAAATGCACCGAAGAGCACTAGCATGAAGAGATGAGGACATTAAAGAGCACTAGCATGAAGAGATGAGGACATTAAAGAGCACTAGCATGAAGAGATTAGGACATTAAAGAGCAATAGCATGAAGAGATGGGGAGATTAAAGAGCACTAGCATGAAGAGATGAGGACATTAAAGAGCACTAGCATGAAGAGATAGGGACATTGAAGAGCACTAGCATGGTGAGACGGGGACATTAAAGACACTAGCATCGTGAGATGGGGACATTAAAGAGCACTAACATGAAGAGATGGGGACATTGAAGAGCACTAGTATGAAGAGATGAGGACATTGAAGAGCACTAGCATGTTGAGATGGGGACATTAAAGAGCACTGGCATGAAGCGATGTGGACATCGAAGAGCAATAGCATGGTGAGATGGGGACATTGAAGAGCACTAGCATGAAGAGATGAGGACATTGAAGAGCGCTAGTATGAAGAGATGGGGACATTAAAGAGCACCATGAAGAGATGAGGACATTGAAGAGCACTAGCATGAAGAGATGAGGACATTGAAGAGCACTAGCATGAAGAGATGAGGTCATTAAAGAGCACTAGCATGAAGAGATGAGGACATTAATGAGCACTAGCATGAAGAGATGGGGACACTAAAGAGCACTAGCATGAAGAGATGGGGACATTGAAGAGCACTAGCATGAAGAGATGAGGACATTGAAGAGCGCTAGCATGAAGAGATGAGGATATTAAAGAGCACTAGCATGAAGAGATGGGGACATTGAAGAGCACTAGCATGAAGAGATGAGGACATTAAAGAGCACTAACATGAAGAGATGGGGACATTGAAGAGCACTAGTATGAAGAGATGAGGACATTGAAGAGCACTAGCATGTTGAGATGGGGACATTAAAGAGCACTGGCATGAAGCGATGTGGACATCGAAGAGCAATAGCATGGTGAGATGGGGACATTGAAGAGCACTAGCATGAAGAGATGAGGACATTGAAGAGCGCTAGTATGAAGAGATGGGGACATGGAAGAGCGCTAGCATGAAGAGATGAGGACATTGAAGAGCACTAGCATGAAGAGATGAGGACATTGAAGAGCACTAGCATGAAGAGATGAGGTCATTAAAGAGCACTAGCATGAAGAGATGAGGACATTAATGAGCACTAGCATGAAGAGATGGGGACACTAAAGAGCACTAGCATGAAGAGATGGGGACATTGAAGAGCACTAGCATGAAGAGATGGGGACATTGAAGAGCGCTAGCATGAAGAGATGAGGATATTTAAGAGCACTAGCATGGTGAGATGGGGACATTGAAGAGCACTAGCATGAAGAGATGAGGACATTGAAGAGCGCTAGTATGAAGAGATGGGGACATGGAAGAGCTAGCATGAAGAGATGAGGACATTGAAGAGCACTAGCATGTTGAGATGGGGACATTAAAGTGCACTGGCATGAGGCGATGTGGACATCGAAGAGCAATAGCATGGTGAGATGGGGACATTGAAGCGCACTAGCATGAAGAGATGGGGACATTGAAGAGCTCTAGTATGAAGAGATGAGGACATTAAAGAGCACTAGCATGAAGAGATGAGGACATTAAAGAGCACTAGTATGAAGAGATGGGGACATTAATGAGCACTAGCATGAAGAGATGGGGACATTAAAGAGCACTAGCATGAAGAGATGAGGACATTAAAGAGCACTAGCATGAAGAGATGAGGACATTAAAGAGCACTAGCATGAAGAGATGAGGACATTAAAGAGCACTAGCATGAAGAGATGAGGACATTAAAGAGCACTAGCATGAAGAGATGAGGACATTAAAGAGCACTAGCATGAAGAGATGAGGACATTAAAGAGCACTAGCATGAAGAGATGAGGACATTAAAGAGCACTAGCATGAAGAGATGAGGACATTAAAGAGCACTAGCATGAAGAGATGAGGACATTAAAGAGCACTAGCATGAAGAGATGGGGACATTAAAGAGCAGCAGAATGGTAACGTTTCGCTTTGTTGGATTCTTAGATGCGTACCAGATTATGAGGGGGACTGCACACATACCACTGGAAGCCACATAGAAGGAGTATATAAAGATGTTTGTGTCATTTACATACATCCCTTGCACGGGGTCTCTGATTCGGGCGAAAGTGAAGGGTGCAAGTGAGGTTGGCTACTTCCGGCTGTCATCTTTAGGAAGCAGTGTGTTGGTATGAGATGAGCAGACGACATCCTGCACGTGACACTCTCACCAGACGACTACGCCGTGAGTGATTGTTGATGTTTCTGTGATATACGAACTGTAGGATTGTACACCGGACATGCCGCGGGACGTCGTCACCAGGCTGGACAGACGCCATTGTAGAGGCCAGTGGCAGATCTAAAGAGCAGAGAGTTGCGATTTATTGAGAAATCAAGGGGAGATTTGTGACAGCATCAAGGTAAAAACCCGTGCCATCACTTTGGTGTTGTCCGTCCGTGGCCGGTCTTGTAATGTTGTTCTGTTAGGTATTTGCGGTTTCTTGATAGTAGATGCACTTTCTTGGTGGTATAATCGGTTCCTCCATTATACATGCAGTTTCTTGCATGTCTATGTGATTTATTGTTCGTTGTTGTAAATGTAGTTTCAGCTGTTTTGATGCAGTTTACATTCTTTTGATAGTTGTTGTTTTCAGACAGTGTCTGTTTTTGAAGCATATACCATTATGTAAATTGAGGGAGGTCGCTCACTGTTTTCACAAACAGTGAGTAAATTTTACGTCAGATGAATTCTGTTTCATCAGCTACATGAGACTGCTTTTTGTCTGACGTTAAATCTTGATATGTTTGATGCAGTGTGGGTTATCCCGATACAGTGACTGTTGTGTGATGCAATGTCTGTTGCTTGATACAACGTCTGTTGTTTGATACAACGTCTGCAGTCCATTGATAGACTGTAAGTGTCAACTTCGTTGTGTGTGTATAACACTCCAACTATAAGATGATTCACATTCATCATGTCCTTTTTTACCAGAGATCAGTAACCCTAATACTAAGGTCATTCCCGCGAGACACAGTAGACGGTTCCAATACAGGTACTCTGACCAAAGATGTGGATCAACCCTGTTGCTATAGCAGCCTTTGTCCTGACCTTGGTGGCCACCGTGTTGGTGGATCTGGCCATGTTCCTGCCCTACTGGTGGCGGGTCACCAGCGCCCGGGGAACCTACATCAACTACGGTCTGTGGACAAAGTCCCAGTGTGGAGAGGATGGGAGCTGCGTCCTGTCTGTCACATACGAGATTGAAGGCGGTAAAGGTAAAAAGCTTAATCGTCGTCAGTACCTACCTACCCACCTAACTGCCTACCTGCCAACCTGCCACCTGCCTACCTGCCCACCTGCCAACCTGCCCACCTGCCTCCCTGCCCACCTGCCCACCTGCCCACTTAGCCACCTACCTGCCCACCTGCCCACCTGCCCACTTACCCACCTAACTGCCTACCTGCCTGCCTGCCTGTCTTCCTATCTACCTACCTATCTTCCTTGCTTCCTACTTAATTACTTAAATACCTACCTACCTACCAATCTGCCTACCTGCCTGACTACCTACCTACCTTCCTTACTTCATACTAAACTACTTAACAACCTAACTACCTACCTACCTACCTACCTATGTTCTTAGTCATACATTAACACTGTTTCTCCATTTGTTGCAGAGTTTCTTTTCATCAGCAAGATATTCATGACATTTGCCGTGGTGCTGACGCAGGTCGCCTTAATACTGCACATAATCTATGTCCCCATAAGGAAGGTCGTGGTCAGATCCATTGCCATCTACTGTCTGGGAGCAGCAGGTTCGTACTCCAAACACCCCCTCCAGTATGTGTATATTACACCATCATTCTACTGTTTGCGGGCATCAACAGGTACATACACTAGACAAACCTTCCAGTATATCTATCCTACACCATCTGAAGTTTGCGGGCACCTTGTACGTTCACAAAACACAGCCTCCAGTATATCTATCCTACACCATCTACTGTTTGCGGGCACCTTGTACGTTCACAAAACACAGCCTCCAGTATATCTATCCTACACCATCTACTGTTTGCGGGCACCTTGTACGTTCACAAAACACAGCCTCCAGTATATCTATCCTACACCATCTACTGTTTGCGGGCACCTTGTACGTTCACAAAACACAGCCTCCAGTATATCTATCCTACACTATCTACTGTTTGCGGGCACCTTGTACGTTCACAAAACACACCCTCTAGTATATCTATCCTACACTATCTACTGTTTGCGGGCACCTTGTACGTTCACAAAACACACCCTCTAGTATATCTATCCAACACCATCTACTGTTTGCAGGGCACCTTGTACGTTCACAAACACACACCCTCTAGTATATCTATCCTACACCATCTACTGTTTGCGGGCACCTTTGTAATGTTCACAAAACACAGCCTCCAGTATATCTATCCTACACCATCTGAAGTTTGCGGGCACCTTGTAATGTTTACAAAACACACCCTCCAGTGTATATATCCTACACCATCTACTGTTTGCGGGCACCTTGTACGTTTACAAAACACACCCTCCAGTGTATATATATCCAACACCATCTACTGTTTGGGGCACCGTGTACGTTCACAAAACACAGCCTCCAGTATATCTATCCTACACCATCTACAGTTTGCGGGTACCTTGTACGTTCACAAAACACACCCTGTAGTATATCTATCCTACACCATCTACAGTTTGCGGGCACCTTGTACGTTCACAAAACACACCCTCTAGTATATCTATCCTACACCATCTACTGTTTGCAGGGCACCTTGTACGTTCACAAAACACAGCCTCCAGTATATCTTTCCTACACCATCTACAGTTTGCGGGCACCTTGTACGTTCACAAAACACACCCTCTAGTATATCTATCCAACACCATCTACTGTTTGTGGGCACCTTGTACGTTCACAAACAAACCCTCCAGTATATCTATCCTACACTATCTACAGTTTGCGGGTACCTTGTACGTTCACAAACACACCCTCCAGTATATCTATCCTACACCATCTACTGTTTGCGGGAACCTTGTACGTTCACAAAACACAGCCTCCAGTATATCTATCCTACACCATCTACTGTTTGCGGGCACCTTGTACGTTCACAAAACACAGCCTCCAGTATATCTATCCTACACCATCTACTGTTTGCAGGCACCTTGTAATGTTCACAAAACACAGCCTCCAGTATATCTATCCTACACCATCTACTGTTTGTGGGTACCTTGTACGTTCACAAACACAGCCTCCAGTATATCTATCCTACACCATCTACTGTTTGCGGGCACGTGTACGTTCACAAAACACAGCCTTCAGTTTATCTATCCTACACCATCTGCTGTTTGCAGGCACCTTGTACGTTCATAAAACAAACCCTCTAGTATATCTATCCAACACCATCTTCTGTTTGCGGGCACCTTGTAATGCGTTCACAAAACACACACCTCCAGTATATATCTATCCTACACCATCTGCTGTTTGTGGGCACCCTGTACGTTCACAAACACAGCCTCCAGTATATCTATCCAACACCATCTACTGTTTGCGGGCACCTTGTACGTTCACAAAACACAGCCTCCAGTATATCTACCCTTCACCATCTACTGTTTGCGGGCACCAACAGGTACATACACTAGACATATCTTCAAGTATATCTATCCTATACCAGCTGCAGTCTGGGGGCACCAACAGGTACATACACTAGACACATCTTCAAGTATATCTATCCTATACCAGCTGCAGTCTGGGGGCACCAACAGGTACATACCTAAACACATCTTCAAGTATATCTATCCTATACCAGCTGCAGTCTGGGGGCACCAACAGGTACATACACTAGACACATCTTCAAGTATATCTATCCTATACCAGCTGCAGTCTGGGGGCACCAACAGGTACATACACTAGACACATCTTCAAGTATATCAATCCTATACCAGCTGCAGTCTGGGGGCACCAACAGGTACATACACTAGACACATCTTCAAGTATATCAATCCTATACCAGCTGCAGTCTGGGGGCACCAACAGGTACATACACTAGACACATCTTCAAGTATATCTATCCTATACCAGCTGCAGTCTGGGTGCACCAACAGGTACATACACTAGACACATCTTCAAGTATATCTATCCTATACCAGCTGCAGTCTGGGGCACCAACAGGTACATACACTAGACACATCTTCAAGTATATCAATCCTATACCAGCTGCAGTCTGGGGGCACCAACAGGTACATACACTAGACACATCTTCAAGTATATCTATCCTATACCAGCTGCAGTCTGGGTGCACCAACAGGTACATACACTAGACACATCTTCAAGTATATCTATCCTATACCAGCTGCAGTCTGGGGCACCAACAGGTACATACACTACACTAGACACATCTTCAAGTATATCTTCGGGTCCTATACTATAGCTGCAGTCTGGGTGCACCAACAGGTACATACACTAGACACATCTTCAAGTATATCAATCCTATACCAGCTGCAGTCTGGGGGCAATTAACAGGTACATACACTAGACACATCTTCAAGTATATCTATCCTATACCAGCTGCAGTCTGGGGGGGCACCAACAGGTACATACACTAGACACATCTTCAAGTATATCTATGCTATACCAGCTGCAGTCTGGGGCACCAACAGGTACATACACTAGACACATCTTCAAGTATATCTATCCTATACCAGCTGCAGTCTGGGGCACCAACAGGTACATACACTAGACACATCTTCAAGTATATCAATCCTATACCAACTGCAGTCTGGGGGCACCAACAGGTACATACACTAGACACATCTTCAAGTATATCTATCCTATACCAGCTGCAGTCTGGGGCACCAACAGGTTCATACACTAGGACACATCTTCAAGTATATCTATCCTATACCAGCTGCAGTCTGGGGCACCAACAGGTACATACACTTAGACACATCTTCAAGTATATCTATCCTATACCAGCTGCAGTCTGGGTGCACCAACAGGTACATACACTAGACACATCTTCAAGTATATCAATCCTATACCAGCTGCAGTCTGGGGTCACCAACAGGTACATACACTAGACACATCTTCAAGTATATCTATCGTAAACCAGCTGCAGTCTGGGGGCACCAACAGGTACATACACTAGACACATCTTCAAGTATATCTATCCTATACCAGCTGCAGTCTGGGGGCACCAACAGGTACATACACTAGACACATCTTTAAGTGTATCTATCCTATACCAGCTGCAGTCTGGGGGCACCAACAGGTACATACACCTTCTGGAGAAGCCTAATGACTTTTTTCTCAATCTCCGTCGGAAAGACATTATCATTGGTTGCATGGTGCTACCGACATCATAACCACCGTCGAGTTGCAACTAACGTCAGAAGTGTTTTTTCAGGTCTGTTTGTCCTCCTTGCCTTCACCATCTTCCTCGGTAAGCATCAGGTACTTGTGGAGAGGAGCAAGGAGTTTGCGGTGGGTTGGTCAATTTGTCCGGCTGTCCTGGGGTGTGTTATCTCCCTCGTAGCATCAGGTCTCACAGCACTGGCGTCCATCAAGAAGGCCAAACGTCACGAAGACGAGGAAAGATTAGCCGGAGTTGTTTAGTAGCATTATCGTTACTTCTTGGTTTACGACAATATGTTCAGTAGACCAGTGGATGTATCGTGACTTCCTGGTTTACGACAATATGTTCAGTAGACCAGTGGATGTATCGTGACTTCCTGGTTTACGACAATATGTTCAGTAGACCAGTGGATGTATCGTTACTTCTTGGTTTACGATAATATGTTCAGTAGACCAGTGGATGTATCGTCACTTCCTGGTTTACGACAATATGTTCAGTAGACCAGTGGATGTATCGTTACTTCCTGGTTTACGATAATATGTTCAGTAGACCAGTGGATGTATCGTCACTTCTGGTTTACGACAATATGTTCAGTAGACCAGTGGATGTATCGTTACTTCCTGGTTTACGATAATATGTTCAGTAGACCAGTGGATGTATCATGACTTCCTGGTTTATGACAATATGTTCAGTAGACCAGTGGATGTATCCTGACTTCCTGGTTTACGACAATTAGACCAGTGGATGTATCGTGACTTCCTGTTTTATGACAATATGTTCAGTAGACCAGTGGATGTATCGTTACTTCTTGGTTTACGATAATATGTTCAGTAGACCAGTGGATGTATTATGTTACTTCCATGGTCTACGACAATATGTTCAGTAGACCAGTGGATGTATTGTTTCTTCCTGGTTTACAACAATATGTTCAGTAGACCATTGGATGTATCGTTACTTCCTGTTTTACGATAATATGTTCAGTACACCAGTGGAGGTATTGTTACTTCATGGTCTACGACAATATGTTCAGTAGACCAGTGGATGTATTGTTTCTTCCTGGTTTACAACAATATGTTCAGTAGACCAGTGGATGTATCGTTACTTCCTGGTTTACGACAATATGTTCAGTAGGCCAGTGGATGTATCGTTACTTCCTGGTTTACGACAATATGTTCAGTAGACCAGTGGATGTATCGTGACTTCCTGTTTTACGACAATATGTTCAGTAGATCAGTGGATGTATCGTTACTTCCTGTTTTATGACAATATGTTCAGTAGACCAGTGGATGTATCGTTACTTCCTGTTTTATGACAATATGTTCAGTAGACCAGTGGACTCGTGTTTCATTACAATGCCCAGTGAAAACAGGTGTGTTCAACAAACCACGCTCAATCTAAAACCAATATTGGAATGAACAGGTCTTGTGTGTACACATATGTAATCTTGTGTTATATGATACATGCTTAATCTCATTTAATATTATTTACCTTTAATATCGGGCCGTTAAATATCAATGTTAAGTACTGGTATATACCAGTTTTGTCAATTTAAAATGTATACATCCCTAATACGAATGTGAAGTCTACACCCCTAACGTCAATTTGAAATATACATCCCTGAAGGCCATTTGTTTACATCCATACTTTCAATTTAAAGCGCATACATCCCCTGAATGTCAATTTAAGGTGTATACATCCTTGATATCAATTTGAAGTATATGTCCATAATGGCCATTTGAGGTATACATCTCCAATGTCAATTTGAAGTATATGTCCCTCATGGCCATTTGAAGCATATACATCCCTACTGTCTATTTAAAGTGTATACATCCCTACTGTCTATTTAAAGTGTATATATCCCTACTGTCTATTTAAAGTGTATACATCCCTACTGTCTGTTTAAAGTGTATACATCCCTACTGTCTATTTAAAGTGTATACATCCCTACTGTCTGTTTAAAGTGTATACATCCCTACTGTCTATTTAAAGTGTATACATCCCTACTGTCTGTTTAAAGTGTTTACATCCCTACTGTCTATTTAAAGTGTATACATCCCTACTGTCTATTTAAAGTGTATACATCCCTACTGTCTGTTTAAAGTGTTTACATCCCTACTGTCTGTTTAAAGTGTATACATCCCTACTGTCTGTTTAAAGTGTATACATCCCTACTGTCTGTTTAAAGTGTATACATCCCTACTGTCTATTTAAAGTGTATGCATCCCTACTGTCTATTTAAAGTGTATACATCCCTACTGTCTGTTTAAAGTGTATACATCCCTACTGTCTGTTTAAAGTGTATACATCCCTACTGTCTATTTAAAGTGTATACATCCCTACTGTCTATTTAAAGTGTATACATCCCTACTGTCTGTTTAAAGTGTATACATCCCTACTGTCTGTTTAAAGTGTATACATCCCTACTGTCTATTTAAAGTGTATACATCCCTACTGTCTATTTAAAGTGTATACATCCCTACTGTCTGTTTAAAGTGTATACATCCCTCATGCACTTTTGGGCATATGTACCTAATGGCCATTTAAAGTACATATTCCTAAAGTTAATTTTAATTATATGTAATGTCTTTGTTGAAACCTTTTGTCTCATGTGCGTCCAGTATATACCCCTAATGTGCTTGTCAAGCAGGTATCTCCATGCCAATGTAGAGTATGTTCCCCTGATGTCCTCGTGGAAGTGTTTTAAGCAAGAGCTAATGTACCATAAAGTGTATGCATATATGTATACCTCGAGCGTCAACATGAATTATGTATCCCTGATATCATGTCTCGTATATACCCCCAAGTATATGACCTTGATGTTTGTGTCAAGTGTTTGTGGTGTTTGTGTCATATGCCCCTGCTGTTTGTGTAAAGTATACCCCTGCTGTTTATGTCAAGTATACCCCTGGTGTTTATGTCAAGTATACCCCTGGTGTTTGTGTCAAGTATACCCTGGTGTTTGTGTCAAATATACCCTGGTGTTTATGTTAATTTTTGCCCCTGTAGTTTGTGTCAAGTATACCCCTGCTGTTTGTGTCAAGCATACCCCTGGTGTTTGTGTCAAGTATACCCTGGTGTTTGTATCAAGTATAGCACTGGTGTTTGTATCAAGCATACCCCTGCTGTTTGTTTCAAGTAAACCACTGGTGTTTGTGTCAAGTATACCCCTGGTGTTTGTGTCAAGTATACCCTGGTGTTTATGTCAAGTATACCCCCTGCTGTTTGTGTCAAGTATACCCCTGGTGTTTGTGTCAAGTATACCCCTTGGTTTTGTGTCAAGCATACCCCTGGTGTTTGTGTCAAGTATACCCCTGGTGTTTGTGTCGAGTATACCCCCTGTGTTTATGTCAAGCATACCCCTGGTGTTTATTTCAAGTATACCCTGGTGTTTGTGTCAAGTATACCCTGGTGTTTATGTCAAGTATACCCCTGTAGTTTGTGTCAAGTATACCCTTGGTGTTTGTGTCAAGTTTACCCCTGGTGTTTATGTCAAGTATACCCTGGTGTTTGTGTCAGGTATACCCCTGGTGTTGATGTCAAGTATACCCCTGGCGTGTATGTCAAGTATACCCCTGGTGTTTGTGTCAAGTATATGCCCCTGCTGTTTGTGTAAAGTATACCCCTGGTGTTTGTGTCAAGTATACCCCTAGGTGTTTGTGTCAAGTATACCCCTGGTGTTTGTATCAAGTATACCCCTGGTGTTTGTGTCAAGTATACCCCTGGTGTTTGTGTCAAGTATACCCCTAGGTGTTTGTGTCAAGTATACCCCCTGATGTTTGTGTGATGTATATACCCCTGGTGTTTGTGTCTGGTATACCCACTGGTGTTTGTGTCTTTATATACCCCTGGTGTTTGTGTCAGATATACCCCTGATGTTTGTGTCATTATATACCACTAGTGTTTATGTATATACCCCTGGTGTTTGCGTCAAGTATATGACCCTAATGTTTGTGTTAAGTATGTATCCCTGACGTTTGTGTCAAGTATATGCCCCTAATGTTTGTGTCAAGTATATGCCCCTAATGTTTTTGTTAAGTATATGCCCCTGGTGTTTGTGTTAAGTATATGTCCCTAATGTTTGTGTTAAGTATGTATCCCTGACGTTTGTGTCAAGTATATGCCCCTAATGTTTGTGTCATGTATATACCCCTGATGTTTGTGTCAAGTATATGCCCCTAATGTTTGTGTCAAGTATATGCCCCTGATGTTTGTGTCAAGTATACACCTGATGATTGTGTCATTATATGCCACTGATGTTATTTTTACGTGTGCGCTCCTAATGTCCTTTTTCAATTTATTCTCCTTGGTATCCTGTCCAGAACAAATGTCATATAAAGCTTATATTTCATTGTTTCATCCTTTACCTTTTCATATACATCTGTATCTTCAAATGTAAATGTTCTTGAAATAAACATATATTTAGAAAGACGTGTTCTTCAGTAACTCAGGGAATGCCTCTATTTCTTCAGTACAGATTTTTTGTTTCATGTACTGATAATCTCAAAAGATTCCAAGAACAGTCCTCTTCGGCGATCGTACGATATATTTAGCACCACATTCAAACATACGTGGGTGGTTCTTGAACGACCAAATTGCTCCCAGCACAACAGTTAAGCATATGTCTTGTGGCCCTCAGAATTAGACAGGGAAAACAAGCAAACTAATATAATAGCTCCTGTTGACAGTGAAGCAATCAGAACTGTCACATTCTGGTAACATTGATACCTTTACATGATTAAGTTACATGTTATTCCACCAGTGAAGATCCGGGTAAAAACTGGTCGTCAGCAACCCATCCTTGTCGTAAGAGGCGACTAACGGGATCGGGTGGGCGTTGCTGTTTCAGCTGGTGTATCTTAAAGGCGTGGGCGTGGCTGTTTCAGCTGGTGTGTCATAAAGGCGTGGGCGTGGCTTTTTCAGCTGGTGTGTCTTAAAGGCGTGGGCGTGGCTGTTTCAGCTGGTGTGACTTAAAGGCGTGGGCGTGGCTATTTCAGTTGGTGTGTCTTAAAGGCGTGGGCATGGCTGTTTCAGCTGGTGTGGGCGTGGCAGTGACTAATAACAAGGGATGACTAATATGGCGTGTCGGACTTGCGACTGAGTATTTAAAGGTGTAGCTTAATGTCTCTGTCTGGTCGGCATGTCTAAAACCTGAAGGCATGCCTTGTGTCTGTGTTATCAGTGGCCATGTAATGATGGCATGTCTAAACCAGAAGGCATGCCTAGTGTCTGTGCTATAGTGGCCATGTAATGATGGCATGTCTAAACCTGAAGGCATGCCTTGTGTCTGTGTTATCAGTGGCAATGTAATGATGGCATGTCTAAACCTGAAGGCATGCCTAGTGTCTGTGTTACCAGTGGCAATGTAATGATGACATGTCTAAACCTGAAGGCATGCCTTGTGTCTGTGTTATCAGTGGCAATGTAATGATGGCATGTCTAAACCAGAAGGCATGCCTAGTGTCTGTGCTATAGTGGCCATGTAATGATGACATGTCTAAACCTGAAGGCATGCCTTGTGTCTGTGTTATCAGTGGCAATGTAATGATGGCATGTCTAAACCTGAAGGCATGCCTAGAGTCTGTGTTACCAGTGGCAATGTAATGATGGCATGTCTAAAACCTGAAGGCATGCCTAGAGTCTGTGTTACCAGTGGCAATGTAATGATGGCATGTCTAAACCTGAAGGCATGCCTAGTGTCTGTGCTATAGTGGCCATGTGATGATTGCATGTCTAGTCCCGAAGGCATGCCTGGAATCACGTTCTTTTTGGTTTCACCATTGTGGTCAACGCCTGGCACCTGCTTGACTCGGGGTGTGTTCTCACATTACAGTACACGGAAAATAGGACTGGAATACTTCGAACCTCACCACCATTATATGTACAGAGTGGCTCTGTTTCCTAGTTGTTCTAGACATTTCCCCTTTGGCTAAGACGTTGCACTGTTTGTCTTGACGTTGACCAGTTGGTTAAACAGTAGACATTCTGTCTGCTTGAATCCGGTATTTATTAACTGGTAGATTGATACACTAAATATAATTATCAATGATTTAGGACAGTTCATAATGTACATATTAATATTTCAAAAAATATGCTTTAAAAAATATGGAAAGGGAGGGGGTTCATTGACTTTGTACATGACATGCAGGGGGTCACTTACATAAAAATTAGGAGGAGGGGGCGGGTCATTCTCATTGTACATGCTTCTCCATAAAATCATCATCAACCCCCAAACACACACACATCTCTTCCCCCAACACACACACACACACACACACACACACACACACACACACACACACACACACACACACACACACCACCACCCCTAGCCATAAATTATGAACGGTCCCTTTTAAAGATAAAGGAGCGTGAATCTTGCGGGAAGTGTTAGGGAAGGGTGGTTCCCTTCCTGATGGCGTCGGCTACTTCCGTCTGGGCACTGTTGTTTTCGTAACGTTTATATATGGCAATGTACTTCTCCTTTGTGGACAGTGTGGCCTTGACACTGTCACGCGCATGACACGCTTCCATCCATCTCCGGAATCGAGCGAATGTGTCGGTCTGAGGAACTGCAAAACTCCTGTAGTGAGACAAAATTTCAAATCTAATGGTAAAAGGCACCAGCATGATATCAACGAGCCCAAAATTTTGGCCGCCAAAGAAAGGACCTTCAGTTGACATGGCCCCCGACAACTCTATGAGAGCTGTCAAAATGGCCTCCATAGCTTCCTCCTGCTCTGGCCGAGTTTGGCGCTGGAGGGCCATGTAGAATTTCGGCACGATCTTCTTTGTGATGAAATCAGCCCAGATTCTTGCTTGTGCACGTTCATACGGATCTTTCGGAAGGAGGGACGGTCCGTCTGGCCAGGCTTCGTCCACATACTCAATACACACAGCCGACTCGTATACACACTTGCCGTCGTTGACGATGACGGGGACGAGCCCTCGGGGGTTGATGGTCAGAAACTCCTTGGTCTTGTTATATGGGTCAATCTCATTGTATTCGAACTCCACCCCTTTCTCCAGTAGAGCGAGCCATGCCCTCTGTGCGAACGGGCAGAACCACGAAGAAAACAGCTTGACAGTTGCCGTCATGTTGTCCGGTAGCCGACGTGTGTTCCAAATCACACTGCGAAAACAATAAATAATGTGTATAAACAATTTCTGCAGACAGTAAGCATCACGAGATACACAAGTGCACTCATTCATATTAATGTAACTTTCTTTCTTGTTGTACAATGTCATGTAACATTTGTTCTTGTTGTACAATGTCATGTAACATTCCTTCTTGTTGTACAATGTCATGTAACATTTGTTCTTGTTGTACAATGTCATGTAACATTTGTTCTTGTTGTACAATGTCATGTAACATTTGTTTTTGTTGTACAATGTCATGTAACATTTGTTCTTGTTGTACAATGTCATGTAACATTCCTTCTTGTTGTACAATGTCATGTAACATTTGTTCTTGTTGTACAATGTCATGTAACAGTCCTTCTTGTTGTACAATGTCATGTAACATTTGTTCTTGTTGTACAATGTCATGTAACAGTCCTTCTTGTTGTACAATGTCATGTAACATTCCTTCTTTCTGTACGTCATGTTTAATCCTTACTGATGTAACATGTGAACAAAGCACTAACGGCTGGAAACATTAATGTCTAAGAGGCATTATTCTAGCAATAAATCAACAAGATTTTTGTGCCTTTGATGATTTTGGACTTGTATTTTTCTATTCATGACGACTTCACTGAAAACGAGGAAAGTACTCGTTTCCGGAGCAGTGTACCAAAACTCGTTTCCGGAGCAGTGTACCAAAACTCGTTTCCGGAGGAGCAGTGTACCAAAACTCGTTTCCGGAGCAGTGTACCAAAACTCGTTTCCGGAGGAGCAGTGTACCAAAACTCGTTTCAGGAGCAGTGTACCAAAACTCGTTTCCGAAGGAGCAGTGTACCAAAACTGTTCAATAATTTTAAATGAACCTTGCTAAACAGATCCCTCTGGTGCCTGTCGATAATTTGTTGTATTGAAACACACAGAACAACATTATTTTCTTCTTCACTAAAGGTATCAAATGGCCATGAAGGGGTCAAAAAGGAAAAAAAACTCTGATGACTCCGACTTAACGATACTTTTGAAATTTATGAGCGAGTTCAGTGAGTGAGATAAAACTTTTCGTCGCAACGGCATTATTTCAGCCATATTGAAATTTGTAAACAACTAAGTGGCTGTTTGCATGTGAAGTTCTACCATAAATCAAACAAAATAAATCTACAATTTTAACTTTCCCCCAAACATTTCCACCGTTGAGTGTATGTTAGTTTCATTCCAAAACGGACGTACGGCCATGGTCTATTTGTATTAACTATGTTAAAAGTAAGTTGTCCATTTGGGTTTATGGCTAACTGTACAGGACATAAATGCAATTTCGTCTACAACTCCTTATTCCGCTAATATGTTTTACACATTGCCGTAATGTTGTGAGTTTTAACGAAACTCCTATATTGATAAACACAATATATCATGAACGGCCGACCTGAATAGTTTCTTACAGCATGTGGTTCCTACTGAGTTAATCAATTCGGTACATACGGCTGGTGAAATGGGAGTGAGTGAGTTTAGTTGTACGCCGCACTCAGCAAAATTCCAGCTATATGGCGGCGGTCTGTAGATAGTCGTATCTGGACAAGACAATCCAGTGATCAACAGCATGAGCATCGATCTGCGCAATTAGGAGCCAATGACGTGTCTACCATGTCAGGGATCCTGACCACTCGATCCCGTTAGTCGCCTCTTACGACAAGCATGGGTTACTGAAGTTTCATTCTAACCCGGACCTTCACGAGGAGACAAGCATGGGTTACTGAAGGTTCATTCTAACCCGGACCTTCACGGGGAGACAAACATTGGTTACTGAAGGTTAATTCTAACCCGGACCTTCACGGGTCGGTAGGTGAAAGGAAATAGGCTGAACAACAATGAAGTGAAATAATGAAGATGAAATAGTGTACTTCATTTTGAAGTGTATTATTTTTTCTTATATTTGTCATAGTTTTCTGAAAATATGGAAATATGGTCTTTTCTTTAATTGAATGAAAAAGCACACGCAATTCTGTCTTTTTGACACAATTTTCATTACGTCACACATGATATATATATTATGACCAGAAATTTATTGAGAATTTTAGGAAAATGTCTAATTGGATTTCTAGTATAAACAACCTTGACCAGCTATCAAGTGCTTGGTTTCATATTCAAGAGAGACAACTCCGTTTATCATTTTTCATAAGTTTGTGAAGTTATCCCCCTTTGTTTACTTGCTAGCAGACGACATTTACAGTGATCCTCAGTATGGATGATTTAGAGAAGAGGAAGTTGATTTTAGAGTATTATAACAACGACATCAGATCGTCTAAAGTGATTTCAAGTAGAACAGGCATCCCTTTGTCCACTGTTTATCGTGTTTTGAAAAATATTGCAAATGGATATGGCATTGAGCACCAGGGACTGTCGGTGACAGGAGGTGGCCTGGTATTCTTGTTTCTAAAAACAAACGAAGGTTGAACTGGTGCTTACAGCATAGACATTTTAACCGGGACAATATGACTTTCTCACATGAAAGTTCTGTGTGGCTGTTTCCTAATACACTGAAATTCTGGACCAAACAAACTGAAAAACCTTTGTATCAGCGCCCAAAGTACAGTCCGAAAGTTAACGTGTGGGGTGTCATAGCTTTGTTAGGGGCAACGCCCCTCTGTGTATTTGAAGGGAATACGAACAGTGAGCGGTACACAGATTTTCTCGAGGGACATTTACTTTCATCTGCTTACTTGTTATATGGAAAGTTTTGGATTTTCCAGCAGGACAACGACCCAAAACATCGTTCAAGCATTCACAGGCCTGGTTTCGGAACAAAAATATGACATTATTAGATTGGCCAAGCTATAGTCCTGACCTAAATCCAATAGAAAATGTTTGGGGACTTATGAAGGAAAGTGTCAATAAGAAAAATCTGACAAATATTGATGAAATGAAAGAAGAATGGTCCGATATTGGGACAGCATGGACCACGACTTTCTAACTTCTTTGATCAGTAGTATGCCCCGCCGCATTGAAGCCTGCATTGCTGCCCATGGTGACTTGACATAATACTAACTGTTCACCTGTCTTTTAATCTGGAGTTATGTTCTGCTAATATTCACATTAATACTAGAGTAATGAGTGAAAAAAAATAAAAAAAATACAATCTTTAAATTCTCAATAATTTCTGGTTGTACTGTAAATGCTGGATATTTTGTCACTTGGGCGTATTTATTTCTATCTAACCACTTAAAACCATGACACTTGCTATGAATAAAATACCTGTCTTGCTACAAAGTTTATCGCAATCGCGAGAGGACGGACCTCCGGTTCACCCCAAGCCCTAGACTAAGACTTAGTCTCTGAATATATATAATTTTGATAGTAACAAACAAGCCCATTTATATTGAAAAGGAGCCCTAGTGAGACCAGAGAACCTGAGGAAATCTAGACTTGCTTTATTTAGGGCTTTAGCACTGCAGTAGGGAAAATAATGTGGTTCAGGGACTGTGAGACAGACTACCCAAGCCCATGCATCGCGTGACCCAGATACGTCCCAATATCATTTTCAGACTGCAGTGGATGCCGCGTCTGAGGCGGTTTCTAGGACGCGATGACATTGCTGGTGTCCTCCCATGGTCTCTGCATCAATTCAGCTCTCCAGATGTTAACTATGCAACTGACGAGAAAAAAGGACACTGCGACATATGAACTGTCAGCTCCAGGGAGCTAAAATCCCAATTATACACAATTCTATCCTAACCACAATAGACAAGCGAAATGCAGTTATGACCTTGATTTGTGTAACAAGGTCACGTAGCTTAGCCAGTTTGATTAGGTTACGCTGGCGTTGAAGCTTGGCAGGTGTACGTAAATACCACCTCACAAACCACGGAGGAGACTCCGTGCCCATCACATACACCGTGCCCATCACATACACCCCCACGCCATACCCTACCTGTGCTCTGTGGCCAATATAGCTGTGGAGTCCGAATGAGACTCGGTACTCGCAGGCGTGCCCGTCACCTGCCATGTGTCACGCTGACTGCGCCCTTTCTACCCTAAGTGCATGATAGGAATATGACCTTGGGTATTGTTTACACCTTGCCGAGAAGATGACCCCGATACTGAATGTGAACTGGGTTTGATGTTGAGACACTGGATATGATGTCATACCGTGGATCTAGCTATGCAGCTACACACCACATCCAATATCACATGACATCACACCCAAAACCAATGCATGACTTCATACCCAGTATCCCTAACTGACATCACACCAAGCACAACAGCATGACATAGACATCACACCAAGCACAACAGCATGACATCGACATCACACCAAGCACAATGGCATGACATAGACATCACACCAAGCCCAACAGCATGACATAGACATCACACCAAGCCCAACTGCATGACAGAACACCAAGCACAAGTGCATGACATTATACCAAGCACAAGTGCATGACATTATACCAAGCACAAGTGCATGACATTATACCAAGCACAAGCGCATGACATCGACATCAAGCACAACCGCATGACAGAACACCAAACACAAGTGCATGACATTATACCAAACACAAGTGCATGTCATTATACCAAGCACAAGTGCATGACATTATACCAAGCACAAGCGCATGACATCGACATCAAGCACAACAGCATGACAGAACACCAAACACAAGTGCATGACATTATACCAAGCACAAGTGCATGACATTATACCAAGCACAAGTGCATGACATCGACATCAAGCACAACCGCATGACAGAACACCAAACACAAGTGCATGACATTATACCAAGCACAAGTGCATGACATTATACCAAGCACAAGTGCATGACATCGACATCAAGCACAACCGCATGACAGAACACCAAACACAAGTGCATGACATCGACACCAAGCACAACAGCATGACAGAACACCAAACACAAGTGCATGACATTATACCAAGCACAAGTGCATGACATTATACCAAGCACAAGTGCATGACATAACACCAAGCACAAGTGCATGACATCAACACCAAGCACAACAGCATGACAGAACACCAAACACAAGTGCATGACATTATACCAAGCACAAGTGCATGACATTATACCAAGCACAAGTGCATGACATCGACATCAAGCACAAGTGCATGACATCACACCAAGCACAAGTGCATGACATCGACACCACACCAAGCATAAGTACATGACATACACACCAAGCTCAAGTGCATGACATCGACACCAAGCACAACTGCATGGCATCGGCACAAAGTATAACTGCATGACATAACAAGCATAACCGAATGACATTGACACTACACCAAGCACAACCACATGACATCAACATCACACCAAGCACAATCGCATGACATGACATCAACACACCAAGCACAACCACATGGCATCGACACCACACCAAGCACAATCACATGACATCAACACCAAGCACAACCACATGACATCGACACCAAGCACAACCACATGACATTGACACCACACCAAGCACAATCGCATGACATTGACACCACACCAAGCACAATCGCATGACATCAACACCAAGCACAACCACATGACATCGGCACCAAGCACAACCACATGACATCAACACACCAAGCACAATCGCATGACATCAACACCAAGCACAACCACATGACATCGACATCACACCAAGCACAATCGCATGACATGACATCAACACACTAAGCACAATCGCATGACATCAACACCACACTCATGGCGAAGATCAACCATAGAGGAGATGATTAAAGCTGGTTACTCCTGGAGCACCGTTGTACAACACGCCCAGAACCGAGTCAGATGGCGGTCGATAATCTGTGGCCTATGCTCTACCATGAGCGAGAAGGCATAAGTCAAGTAAGTCAACACCACCACACCAAGCACAACTGCATGACATCAACACCACACCAAGCACAACAGTTTCGCTCAACACCCACTACCCATGCTATCAACCAGTGGTCTACTTGCGCTATCACACACAGGTCTACCCATGCTATCAACCAGTGGTCTACTTGCGCCATCACACACAGGTCTACCTATGCTATCAACCAGTGGTCTACTTGCGCCATCACACACAGGTCTACCCATGCTATCAACCAGTGGTCTACTTGCGCTATCACGCACACGTCTACCCATGCTATCAACCAGGGCCTAGATGTTTGTAGCTCTCTTAGCGCTAAGATAGTTGTAAGTGCCATACATTAACATTAACTTACGACTATCTTAGTGCTAAGAGAGCTTCGAAAATCTAGGCCCAGTGGTCTACTTGCGCTATCACACACAGGTCTACTTATGCTATCAACCAGTGGTCTACTCGAGCTATCAACCACTGGTCTACTTGCGCCATCACACACAGGTCTACCCATGCTATCAACCAGTGGTATACTCAAGCTATCAACCAGGGGTCTACTTGCGCCATCACACACAGGTCTACTCAAGCTATCAACCAGGGGTCTACTTCCGCCATCACACACAGGTCTACTTGCGCCATCACAACAGGTCTACCCATGCTATCAATCAGTGCTCTACTTGCGCTATCAACTTGTGGTCTACTTGCGCCATCACACACAGGTCTACTTATGCTTTCAGCCAGTGGTCTACTTGCGCTATCAACTTGTGGTCTACTTGCGCCATCACACACAGGTCAACACGTGCCATCAACCAGCGGTCTACTCATGCCATCATCCACAGGTCAACACTGGCTATAATCAACAGGTCTATTTATGCCATCAACCAATGGTGTACTCAGGCTGTGAATACATGTTCAACATCTCACTTGGAAACATCCGAGCCACATGGGTTCGAATCACTGTTCGGACAATAATTACTAAAAACAAAACTCTAGACTTCCCACACAATAATAGCACACATGGAAACAGACCAAAGAGAGCCGGTTTGTGTTTCCGAATCATTCGCAGATTTACGGAAACTGTCGATGTTTACAGCAGAGGCCAGATGTTTGTTCAAAGCAGAGTAGTGCTAATGCAAGGGCCAGTGATCAAATATCAAATGCAGTTAGACAAACCGAATATGATGAAAAGAAAGGTAAAAGAATGACCTATAAGCGCAACACATTTTTCTCTGTGAAAAACGTAAGGTTCAAGTAGTCAGGTTGTCCGGTTTTCAAATATGTTTTTACTATCGGGAGTCTCAGTCCTTTCCCCCTTCTGTATTTTATGCAATGAAAAGCAGTGGAATTTTCTAAAATCTGTTTCTTCACAGATTTCATCCAAATTACATGTTAATCACAACATATAAAAACAACATATGACCGCAAAAGTCCAAATTTGTATTTTAAAAATTATTGTCTAAAAAGTGATTAGTAACCCCTGTAATGCCAGCTGTGATTGGCAGCCTGGATGGTATCCAGACAAGTCAATGATCATCAATCATACATGCCTTGTGTACGAGGTGATATCTATGGTGTCACTGACCCATTCAGTTGTCTCACTATAGTTACTAAGACCCTGCTGTAACCTCAAGTCACCCTTACAAGGTTGCTTGGTACCAATATAATCCAGAATCACACCGTGTCTACGGAGCTTGGAACATTTTTCAACCAAGGATCCCCCATGGGTACATCTTTTGTCCAAATTGCATCTACTCTCCCCACACAGAGCAGGGCACATCATATCTATAGCCCAGGGCCCCGTTACAAAAAAACGATTGTAGCGCTATAGTCTGTTTGCAGTGAAAACGTACCGATGAATTTCACTCTAAACAAAAAAGTAAATCGAATAAAGTGAAATTAAGATTGCAAATCCTCATAATTTTACCTTGACAATTGAACATTCAAATCTCATAATTTTATTCAATTTAGGAAAAAGTTGTTTAACAATCGATCATAGTTTCAAATCGCTATTATTGGTTTGTATTACAAGGGGATATGCACATTCGATGAAACACCGAGAACAAGTAGGGTTGGTCTAAGTTAACGCTCATCACGTACCCCATGTGCATTTGTTTCACTGTTCCATCTACTGCAGTTACCCCCTTGTAATACAAAGGTATCTGAGATTTAAATATTCATTTGGCAAGGTAAAATTATGAGGATTCGCAATCTTAATTTGATTTACTTTAAAGTGAAATTCATCGGTACGTTTTCATTGCAGACAGACTATAAGTGATTGTAACTCCCATACTTTATTATAGACTTACGACTGTTAAAAGCACTACAATCTCTTTGAGGATCAGGGCCCTGTTCCACAATCTTAATAGTATGACAAGGTCTGTATGCAAGTATTGGCACTATGGTCATCTTTGAGGAACAGGGCCATGTTCCACAATCTTAATAGTATGACAAGGTCTGTATGCAAGTATGTCATCTTTGGGGAACAGGGCCCTGTTCCACAATCTTAATAGTATGACAAGGTCTGTATGCAAGTATTGGCACTATGGTCATCTTTGAGGAACAGGGCCATGTTCCACAATCTTAATAGTATGACAAGGTCTGTATGCAAGTATGTCATCTTTGGGGAACAGGGCCCTGTTCCACAATCTTAATAGTATGACAAGGTCTGTATGCAAGTATTGGCACTATGATAATCTTTAGGAACAGGGCCATGTTCCACAATCTTAATAGTATGACAAGGTCTGTATGCAAGTATTGGCACTATGGTCATCTTTGAGGAACAGGGCCCCGTTCCACAATCTTAATAGTATGACAAGGTCTGTATGCAAGTATTGGCACTATGGTCATCTTTGAGGAACAGGGCCCTGTTCCACAATCTTAATAGTATGACAAGGTCTGTATGCAAGTATTGGCACTATGATCATCTTTGAGGAACAGGGCCCTGTTCCACAATCTTAATAGTATGACAAGGTCTGTAAGCAAGTATTGGCACTAAGATCATCTTTGAGGAACAGGGCCCCGTTCCACAATCTTAATACTATGACAAGGTCTGTATGCAAGTATTGGCACTATGATCATCTTTGAGGAACAGGGCCCTGTTCCACAATCTTAATAGTATGACAAGGTCTGTATGCAAGTATTGGCACTATGGTCATCTTTGAGGAACAGGGCCCTGTTCCACAATCTTAATAGTATGACAAGGTCTGTATGCAAGTATTGGCACTATGGTCATCTTTGAGGAACAGGGCCCTGTTC